AGGTGTAAGAAAGGGTATTTAAAGACCTCAATTCGGCCTCCTGTTCCTTCCATGTGTCCCTTAAAAATCTGAGGTATTAAGGCCATGTGTCCACCTTAAAATTTGCAGAAAATTGGGGGTGTACAAGTGTCCCATGTGCCATTATGATTCAGATAAAATCATGTGATATTTCACATTATTTTAGTCCATAATCATGTGGACCACTTAGGCCACAAATTTACTATTTATTTCTGAACCAAAATAATACCTAATGGGCTAGAGGAAGAAGAAAAGGGTATTATCTTTTATCTCCAGACAATTTTCAACTCGATTTCGCTATATCGGCTAAAATTCCTGTCTAATCTTTAATAATATTTTTGGACCTCCAAAAATTCACTTCTACCCATCTAAAATCATATTTTAATATGGAAAGGTTTTATGAATTTTTTTTATAGAATTTATCTCAACTTCCAACTATTTATTTTGAATTTTCTCTGAAATCAAGCTTTACCACTAAGATTTTGGTGATAAATATTCTAAAATTAATCCTTTTACTTTTAGGGCTTGGAAAAACTTTCATAAACTCAAATAAATCCTTAAATAATTTTTTCATATTTTTTCAAAATTATTGATGTCTCTACATATTTAAAATAATTGTTTCTGGCTAATTTTTTTACTATTTTTTGAAAAAACCTCTATTTACATAAAATTTTGAAATAATTTATTTTTATGTCATTTTCACCTCCAGGACCTCAAATAAGGTTCCAAACCCTCTAATTTACCTTTTTACTATTTTCAGGGAATTTTCTAAAATTTTTCTCTAATTTTTCCATTTTGCCCTTCCTGGATCTATAATTTCAAAAATATCAATCCAGACAAGAGTCAGATTTCAACTCAAAAATTGTTTTGACTCTGAGCCTACTTTATCACTTGAACCTCTGTCTAATTTATTATTTACATTCTTAAGGTTAAAGCTAGTGGAATGTGACAACAGAGTAGGCATCCTACCTGTCTCGTGTTGTCCTCTTATTTGGTTTCTTTAACATTAGTTGTTTTGCCTCAGAGCCAACGAGTTGTAGATTAGGGGCACTATTGCCAAAAATTAGCCATGTGTTGAAAGACAACAAAGAAGAGGATGACGAAGAGGAGGTTAAGGATGACTTGTTCACTGTCATGAAAATCAACACATCCAAATCTCTTCGTAAATATTCATTGATGACAAAGAAACTAAAGGAAAAGAGAGGGTCGAGCAGCCATTGCATGATGTAAAAGACCCTTGCACCAAAAACATCGTGTAATGCATGCAATATCTGATTGCTAGTTAAATGTTTAATATTGGTTGACTTGATAGCCATAGCATTTTCATACCATTCTAAAAAGAATGAAAACACAAATTTACCTATTGTAATATTTTAAAAGAGCATCAGGTATTATAACAAAATGTTGGGTCCAAAATTACTTTGTTGATTCAAAAAGAGCCCAAAAATGCTACTTCGATTAAACTGACCATCGCTGACCGCTAGTTTTTAAAACGTTGACTACATGAGGTGACATGAAGTGTGATATGTGCATGATGCAGTGCTACATGGATGTGTATTTTTGCCTCTCTCACTCTCTAGAACATTTTCATTCTCGATCTCCACAACGCGGCAATATCAGTTTCACTGCTAAATGACATCGTTGAGTACCATATCCATTTTCTTCATCTCTGACGAATCCTGCTATCCGCTTGAATATTATTAGATTCACCAATTTCCAGGAATCGGGATACTCTCGCCTATTTCTGATGATGTCCTCTCACAAACAAGCCCTATTGTCCCTTTTTTCCTAGCAAGCCTTGTTCTTCGATGACACCATTTTGGGTCTTCCCTTGGCCTTTATTGCTATCCGGTTTGTCCTTAAACTTACTGCTAACTCTGCCTTGTAATATCTACCTTTTCACCATGAAAGTTATCAAATAGAAGCAAATAAAAAAAAAACCACATTTCATAGTCTCAAGATTAATAAATCAAGTTTTCAAAAATTTTCTTCTCAGTTTACTGTTCATAGAGTAATTTTAAAATTTTGGTCAATTTTAAAAATTCATAACTAAATCTAAAAAAATCAAAATAAAGTGATTCTATCTTCTATTTGAAGCTCTTTCAAACGTCTACACAAGAAACACACACATATATATGGACTTAAACCATCTCAATTCATATAGTTAATTCGCCAACTTTGATTGTTCATTTGATCAAAACTGTACTTTCCAGCTTTCTGCTATAACTTCAAAAATTCATAACTTTTTGTGCCTAGCTCCAAATTATGTGAGCTACCACTCTATTTGAAGCTTAAGATGAGCATTCTTTGTCTATCTAATCCCATGGCTAGATTCATTCAAGTCCAACTCCTTCCCTTACTTTTTCCTTTGACCGAACATATGTATGTGTTTAAGAAGTTAGAATTCTTTCATAAATCAAGTTACAACACAAGTTTCCGACGCTTTTTCAATCCTTTAATCCCTAGTCCACCCTTTAATTATGCATGTCATGACTTATACCATTTTGGGCAATAAGATATCATAGGGTTTTCAGTCATTTTTCTCCATCAAAATTAAATCTAAATCAATCACTAATCAAGGCAATTAAACCCTCACAAGAATTCTTAACTTACCTCGCGTGTTGTCTTGAAGTTGACTTGGTTCTTTCTTTTCTTTTCTTTTTTGATTCAAGAGCAAAACCTTCCCTCCTTATGTTTTCTTATGTTGCCTGAAAATGAAGGCCTTGAGAGGTATTTATAAGCAAATTTTTTGTCCTTGGTTTTTCTTGTTTTGCCCTTAGGAAATATCAGAATTCCAATGGCCATTTGTCCCCTTTATCAAGCCATCTTTTACTTGCTCATGCCGAGTGTTATGGAAGAATAAGATGACTAAACATGTGCTCCCTTACATCATCAAGTTAGGTGGCATAACATTGGAAGAAGAAGAAAGAAGGAAAAAAAAACCAAATTGAACTCATAAACACCTTTTCTTCTTGCCAAAATGCCTTTGGCATATTTAACATGTGATGGAAGATGATTATTTTAATCATTTTCCAATTTTCTTCCTTATCAAATAGCATAATTTTAACCTTGTCCTCCTCTCATAAAAATGCCAAAATTACTTGAAAAATTACGGAAAAGTTGTCCCATAGAGCTTTAGTTTATTTCACTGTATAATTTCATCATATCGGTTAAATTTTTTATGAATCCTATCCAATCTAGTAGCTCTAAAAATTCATTTCTCTATACCAATAATTCTATTTTATTGAGAGGGAATTGACTAATTTTTGTCAGGTCAAAATTTGACTTGTAGTTCCTTGTATTCAACTTTTTTTGGGGAAATCGGCCTTTTACTGGCATAATTCAGCTTTAAATATTTTTAAAGCTAATCTCTACATCTTCAAAAGTTACAAATAATTTTACAATCTGTAATAAACTCTCAAATAATTTTTTTTCTCATTTCTATCTAAACAATGTAGGCCTCTATGCATTTAAAATAATTTACTTTGGCTAATTTTTCCCTGTTTAGCCAAAAATAGCCCATAATTATAGAAATTTCTCTGATAAATAATTCTCATTCTGTTTTCACCTTTGAGGTCTCAAATATTGTTCTAGACACTTTACTTTATCTTTTAGGAATTTTTGGAAATTTTCATGAATTTCGGGCATTATTTTTCCTTGACCGAAACTTTTCAAAATGACAGTTCAATCTTTGCCATGTTTCACTTCAAAAGTTGTTTTATCTCTATCTCTGCTATTTTACTTGGTCTATAGTCAGTTCTGACTCCCTCATCCCATAGGTTAAAATTTAGAGGATGTGACACTGTCACATTCGCCAAGCTCCGCATCACCCCTACACTCTCTATTTATGACCTTTGTTGCTGTCCACCCTCTCAAGCTACCAATACCCTCATTTCCATGCTTTGACTCAACTCATCTAAGTCCCATGAACATGCTTTTCTTGATTGAATGGAGTTACTGTCTCTAGAGTCAGAGACATTGGAAATCCAAGAGCTGCAGTTGCCGCCAATAGTACAGCAACAATGAAGGAAAAAAGCGGCTGCCACTTTTGTCAATGAGTTACAGTGAAGAAAAAATGATCATCAAAATCAAAGTGTACAACTTGATCCTGGCGACACTCATTCATGATCCAATTATGTTGTAACCCAATAAGAAAACAAGGAAATGGAGGAAAAAAAGACTCGAACCTGCTGCTTTGTTAGGAATGGTAACATAAACAATGATGCTTGGAGCAGTGGAGGTTCTGCCTTCCATTCCAATCGCAGGAGATTGGCCACCAAATTTGGACTTGCAGTAGTTAGAAATGATGGAAATAAGATGGATAGAATGGAAAGGAAGAAAAGGAAGAAGAAACCTTGAGTTAGCGAGAGAGGAGCAGAAGGAAGAGGAGGCAAAGGTGAGGATGCAGACGACTACCATGCCTATGAGCAACAAACAATGTAGTTGCTTAGAGAGAGAAAGGATATTATTGTGCCACATATGCACCCACAGCAACATTTTTCAATCAAAATGTTCTCTTTAAATGGTTAATGTTAACAGCATGGGTATTTTTACTGTGTTTTCAAAAGTTCATCTACATTTTTCTCCTTGACATTTTATAATGGTAATTGTGCTCACAGTGGGTAAATTCACCCCTTCGCCCTTTTAAAAACTTTATATATATATATATATATATATATATTTGTTCAATTTTCTTGACTAACTGATAAATAGTCAATATTGGTTGATTTAACAGTTATGACATTTTTACACTATTTTAATATCTTTATACGTGTTTTCACACTAAAGAAAAGTTTATGGTGTTAGGTAGGATAAAAAATAATTTATGTGCAGATTTGTACCTTAACCTTAATTTAAGCTAATTTATTTTTATTATCATTTTTTATTTTAATAAACTCTAAGATATTGGCACACTTCAAAATATTAATGAATCAGGATCTTCAAATCGTATTCAACACCTCCATAGAAGTAAAACCGGCGTACAAGAAGGCTCTTGATGAGAAAATATTCAAAGAAGTACTTCATCATTTATTTCACATTCCATCTTTGTTTCTGTGATATGGTGTGCACGCCATGCATACAAAGTTTCAAATAAGAAAGTACGAATTTGGAAAGGAAAGATAGGAATCAAACAAACAACAAAAGCATAACGCAAGATCACAAAAAGAAACCAAGCCCTTTTGCTAATCGTAGAGAAGTTGTGAAGCACTGGGAGTGTGTGACCTCTGCCTCCTTTGCTGTGAGCCATAAACATGTTGGTCGCCATGTTTTGGATCAAAACTTCCCATCTTTTTGACTTGTGGAACGTTAGGACTTGCTTTCTGATGTCTGATGAAGGCATCCCCAGCAACCCTCACAGCTCTATGACTCTTGCAGCCCAAAAGATTGCTAGATCTCCTTCTCTGCATATCTCTATTAGCTTTACTTTTCCCATTTGTGGAAGAACCAAATGTTGACGATCTGATAGGACTCATCATAGTAGTTACTGATCTTTGCTCTTCAAAATCTGGTAAGACTGATTGTTCTGCTGCACTAGAAGTGACCACACTCCAATCTATGCTAGCCTCGCTCGGTGCATAGCAAGTCGTAGGGGTGACACAGCCTGAGTTAGCAGCATCAGATGCTTGACTTGCAAGGTAAGGCTTTGATTTGGCTCCTGTGAAGCTTTCAATCTCGAAAAGATCAGAACTTGCATCACTAGCAGCGTCATTAATGTTGTTCCCACCTGAATTTGCAGACAAGTCTATTTCCCCTGATTTGGGAGGATTCCATGACGATGAAGAAGGCGCTGTGAGCCTTTTATCAAAGCTCAAGGACTTGCTTCTGCATTCCAATATAGATGAGCCAAATAGCTCCAGAGATTTCGTTGGTTTCTCCAATTCATATTCTGGTGGAATTTTCATATTCTCCGGCTTGTTTGCAAGACCAGCATAAACAGTTTCAAAGGATTTTTTTGGACTTGATGTTTTCCCATGAGTTACACCGAAAGAAGCATTTTTGCCGAAGCTGATTTCGCAGGAAGCGGTTCCTCTGACATCAACAGAATCCTTATCGGAACAGGAGCATTTGCAGCCAAGATTAGATAAGAGACTCTTACCCTGAACCTTTTTTCTACTATTCCTGGAAGAATTCTTCAAAGCAGTTCTCAGTAATGCACTTTGGCTGTTCCAACTTGATTCAGAATGAACACTGGGAGTTCCTATAGGGAGAACTTTGCTCTTTCTGGTTTCTTCTAGATCTGCTTCTTGTTTTTCTTTCTGATGAGGATGACGATGATGATACTGAAACTTTCTAGCGGGCATGTTGTTTGAAACTCCTGGACCATCCTCCACTCCTCCATTGAAGTACTTTTCAGCTGAAAATACCCCAATTTCTTCATCTTCTCCCTTTTTTTGTACCATATGAACGGGATAATCCTCTCTGCTGTCGGTAAAGGAGTTGACTTTTTTGCTTGAATCTGCAAGTTTTTTCTCAAAAGTGCCTTCAATTCGGTCCAAGTATGAAGAAAAGGAAGTTTTACGATGGTGACTATTCTTGTTCTGAGAGTTCAAACTCAGCAACTCATAGACGCCACGGTTAGCAGCTGATGTTATGGTAACCTTGGTTACTGAATCTTTCAGCATAATTTCAAGTATAAATTTCAGGGAAAGAAGAAGATAAAGACAAAGATGCTGGAATCCTGCTAAGGTAAGAAAATTCAGTATTATGAGAACCTTCTTAAGGACAAAAGGGACAAGAAAATATGAACAAAGGAAAACTCAATAGGCGCTTAAGTAGCAAACTTTAATGGAAATTAGGGTGAAGCTGTTACGCAATCAATGGTTAAAGCAAGAATCAGATGATAGAAGCCAAGGATAGATGAACGTCTGCCTGACTCATGTAAGTGTACCCCTATAAGTAGACTTTTAGAATATGCCCAATGTTAAGTAAGTGGGCTATGCCCTGGTGACCTAATTGACACTTCATCAACAATTACTTTCATGGGGAAATTTCTTCCTTTTTAGTTTAATATCAATTCATTATCTTCCAAAACTTTTTGTTTAGTAATAATAATACATATTATTTTCCCATGTGATGACACTATTATTGATTAACATGAAAGAAAACACTTTTTTCCATGTATTGTGGAGAACTTCAAAAATAAATCATACTATTCATAACTTGTGAACAATGTGAATTGCAATAAGTTTTATGATTTTTTTGCTCAAGTATAAGTTTTTATAATTTAATGTGATTTTTTAAGCTTTCACCCAATAACTTTAATTAAATGTCCTAGAGTTGTTATGATTATCTAGCTAGGTTTGCAATTCAAGAGTCGATTTGGTATGAGGGAAATCGAGGGGAGGGGAGGGAAAGAAAAATTCTAATAGACTCATTTTAAAAAATTGAAGCGGTAGGGTTTAAAGCTTTAGTTAATTTTCATTACTCGTTTATTTTACATCTTATCTTTATTACAATTTTAAATCCCCACTTCTTCTATCTTTTTAAATCAAGCTCATTAGAATTTTTCCTCTCCTTGTCCTTTCCCCATTTCCTTGATACCAAACCTAGGGTAAGTGTGAAAAATTTTATATACAAAAGTATATTTTAATCAATATGCATGCCATATGAAGCTAGTTCAGATAGCCAAAATGATAGGGTGTGGGTAATGTGGTTAAAAACTCAAACCTCCATCGTACAATTAAAAAAAATAAAATCAAAATATACTCTATCATTGCTTTTATCCTTTTTATGAGATCTCAGTTACAGTTGTTTGAACATTTAATATGTTTTTATTATTTTGCTCCTAATTAATTTTATATATTACATTAATTAAAAGATTGGTAACTTGCCCTACTATATTCTTTTTCATATTTTTTCTCTCTTATTTGCCCATTATAAATAAAGGCATGCTTCGAAAAATATTTGTTTCTTAGATATCTATCATTGTTAACTAGTTTTAATTACTTTCTTAAACCGTGTAATTGAGTTATTAGGTTCTTATAGAAAAGTATTGGAAGTAGTATATGTATAACCTGTTATACGATTCGTATGATATAAATAATATGGCTTTTTTTTTAAACTCCGTGTAATGCATGCGAAATGTGCCTAGTTTTGATAATAATAATTGTCAAGATTCACTTAAAAGCTTAAACTTTTATATATTTGACAAAAATGTGTTATAGATTGCTCCCGTAATTTCGAAAGGAAACATGAGGTAACATATGAAAAGCCCTATGAATTGTCTATTTCCAAGAGAAAGGGTGACAGCTACGGAAGAGGAAAACATGTACAATATTTGCCATCTTGATTAGATAATTCATAGTCCCATCATATTAAAAACTATTGATTTGCCTTTTGACAATTGGAAGTTACCAAGCGGGCATGACCCATCGGAAGTAAATTCACCTCAAACAGACAAATTGTTAAGATGCTGGTGAGATTAATAAGTTTGTGGTCAACAATAAAGATGGGAAACAGCTCAGAATGCAGTGCAACTGGGACTCTGTATCTGAGATGGCACTCTGATATTACTGGTTTCCGTGTTAAATTTAGAATATAGACAACGTTTGATGCTGCAAATCTTACAAGACCCTATTATTTATCCCATTCTTAAACACGTCAAAATCATGAAAACCACATCTTACCAAAAACAGTTCGGAACACTCATCACTGATTACTGTATTAAAAATGACCTCAACTGAAAAACTTTGGTGATAAATCGATGTGGGTTTGATACAAATCGATTTAGTCCACACATGGAAGTTCAAAGTAACTGCAAAATCGATGACTAATGTTGATATGAAGCATAGAGAGATTTGAAGAGATGACAAGAAGTCATTGAAAGGAAAAATCAGAAGAAGATTAGATTGAAGTAGTGTCCCCGGACCCCGGTCATCGTGGCTATATTACAGGGGGGGTGAGAAAGTGGCCCAGAAATTAATTAACGTATAAGGGGGTCCCTTCTGGGAGCTACTAGAGTAGATCATGAGCTTGTGGTGGGTCCCTTACGAGGAGGAAGGGGACATGTCTTAGCTTGGATTGGCTAGCCGGCTTCACTAAGATTGAGATTCTGTGTACCTGTACCTGTCTGTAGCAATCCATGGGGGAGGCTTATTAGTCAGGCATTAAGCCAACTAAATGTTCCATATTGTTCAGTCATCCCTCGTCTGAGATTTCCTAGTTCTACAATATATATTCAGAGTTGATCCATCACTTGCATTAAGTGAAATGATGATGATTCATCGGAGCATGGACTTATAGTTCAATGATTCATTAGTACCATCAACCAAAATGGTTAGTGGAGTTTTTCTTTATGAATAAAAAAATTACCATGCAAAATGATTATTTTGTCAAGATTGGGTTTTGTTATAAACTAAACTAACTTTTAACAAATTTTTTTTTTATCAATACTTGGGTCTGAGTAGATTAAAAATTTGAGTTTGAATTTATAGGACATAAGTTAAAATCTTACATAGTTATCAAGTTCTTGTGCCCAAATATTTTTTTTTATTCAGTCTAAGGCAAAATTGTAAAATTTACATTACCCATCTATCTTTTTTTTTTTTAAATAGAAACTGTATATCAATTAAACACAAAAGGAAAAAGTCAAACGGCAACAAAAAAAGAGCTTCCTTCATCAACATCCATCTCACATTAAGAAAGATAGAATGCGATCAAATATGTGAAAGTTCCCTTCCATCCTATATGATAAGTTGGCAAGGTGATCAGCCATAGAGTTATTCATTCTATAAGCGTAGCTTATTGCCACCTGCCAATCTCTACAAGAAAGTAATCTAGCCTGATCAATAAGGTCTCTAAATTAAAAGGGTGTGTTGGATCACAACCCCTATGCAAAACATTAATAGCCTATTTACAATCAAAAGAAACAAAAACACTTCTATAGTTGCTAGACCAGCACAAGTGAAAGTACAACACCTTAATTAATCACCCATTTTATATCAAGTGGAAACAATTGAAACCATTTAACAGGTCCTTAAGTTGAAAATTTTTGAATTTTTAAATTTCTTTTCTCGGCTTACTATTCATTATAACCCTAATTTTGTCTCAACGTTAAAAAATTATAACTAACTCTGGAAAAATTGAAATGATATTCCAAGTTCTACTTGAAGCTTTCAATGATATCTTTACAGAAAAAACACTTCCAAAGTGTGACCTCAGCTCGTGTATGCTCAATTCTATCATCAAATTGCACTATTCACTTGCTTAATTTTTTAATTTTCTAGAATTTATCCGTAACTTTGGAAAAGCATAACGTTTTGTACAAAACTCCAATTGTTATAAATTACCACTCATTTTAAAGCTAAAAATAAGAACTATTGATCTACCAAATTTCATGACCAAATTCTTTCATTTGCTTAAAATCACGTGTGGTCAAACTTTGACTCAAACTTGGTCAACTTTTACCTTTTAAGTGTTTAACTTGCCATAACTCAACTTTAACAACTCAAGCATAATTGAACCATAATTCATAGCATATAATAAGCATATCCACATAGGTCACAAGTCTCAAATAGTCAACTATACATTATTTCATAGTTATTACAACATTATAACATAGAGTTCTTTAAAGTGTTATCAAAATATTCCTCAAGATGTAACCACCGTCTTGCCTTTAACAAAACCATTTGTAGCCCTTATTGATATCATTTAGATATAGAGAGGAATGAGATTTCATAAAAATATTGGTAGCTAAGAATTACAATCATAATGTGAATCAAGCAAGGCATGTTACATGTAATTCATAAAGTATTCAACTTTCATGCCACGAAAGAGGATATAAAACCATTTCAAACATCAACGTATTAGTGTATTTTGCCAAGGCATACAATGCAACAATCAAGCATATCATCATCAAACAAGTTCACCTATAACAGGCACATATTCAAGGAGTTATATAAAGTAACAACCAAGCAAGATAATATTAAATTATAAATTCTAAGCTACTTAGGCCCTTGCTTCGCATGGCTTCCTTCCTTGATTTTGAGCTTCTCTTTTTCTCAACAATATTGCCTATCAAACAACAAGAATAAATGCATTTCAAGTCAATAACACCATTCCATTACACAATCCTTTCTAAAACCCTACCCTTTTAACTTTTAATTTAGGGTTTTTATATTATCATTCTTTCCATAATTCGCATAAGTTTTTTCTACACAATTTTTCATGTAGAATCTATTTTTAAACTTAGATTCATCAAAATCCAACTCTTTCCATTTTAAATTAGTTTGGCCAAATTGTCCCCTAGGGTTCCAAAAATTTCAATTTCAATGCTTCTAAACATATGTTTTTCACATATCTCTACACAAAATTACATTCTAAATCCATTGAAACCATGAAAACAACACAAATCAAACCTTAGGGTAGCATATTCCCCTTGGTTGAATAGTACCCCAAGTGTACACAACTTGATATCTTTAAAACAACAAGGTTTAATCCTTATCAAACAATCATTTCCTATGCTTTAATCCATATAGGAACTTAATATCAATCACAAATCATCATGAAGCACTACAAAAAAAATAGTTGATTAGCAATGGAATTTTTTACGGAAACAAATTCCATCGCAAATTTCTGATGGAATTGTGACGGAAATTCGGTTGTTAATTTTTTTGACGAATTAGCGACGGAATTTTTTTGTCACTAATATGCGTGACGGAATTTCTGTTCGTCACTAAATTCTGTCGCTAATCTGTTGGAAAATTAGTCAATAAATATTTAGCGATGGAATTAGCGACATAATTTTTTCCATCAGAAATTTCTGTCACTAAATTGTTTGTCATAGAAGTTTTTGTCACTAATTCCATCATTGATTCTATTCTGTCGCAATTCCATT